TTCAACTTTTATACATATTTCTTAAGTCACTTTATAGTCATTTTCTTGTCAATTTTCCTTCATTCAGTGTAATGCATGTTTGTGAATCTGTACTATACCGGCCTCACCTTACCTTGTACTGGATTTGCTGGATTGAAGTTCAGTTGTAACATTGCCAAAGATTTCTACTATTGTCCTTTATTGGTTGTCTACAGTGCCTTCACTTGGAATGTGGGCACAAGAAGGCACTTCCCCAGGATGTACAGTAACATGCCAAACTTCATTTTCCATATCACTGTACCTCACTTGGAAGACTAGAAAAGCTGACTTCCTGCTTGTAAAACACATTGGCAGGAATTACAGGGTTTTTTTTAAATAACTAAACTGTATTTGATATATAAAATCCTAATCATCAGTAAACGGAAATTAGTTCTTTGCTATTTTTTAAATTCATTCATAGGATGTGATGTCAGTGGCTAGGCTAGCATTTTTGTACATTGTAAATGTCTGGAGGCTCAAAAGTTAACCACATAACTTTGGGTCTTGAGTAATATGTAGGTCAGATCAGTAAAGAGTGTTGATTTCCTTCCCTAAAGGACATGAGTGAACCAGACAACTTTTTTTTTCATAACAATCCACAAGGGTTACATGGCCACCATTAGACTAGCTTTGAGAGTTTTTTAATTGAATTCAAATTTTACCATTTGCTTTGGTAGCGTTACATGTTTAAGTGGAGTCTTTAGACAGGCAGCTTAACACCTATCGAATTAGGTAGACATAAAAGATCTCATGATACTATTTGAAGAAAAAAGGGCAACTCTCCTTATTGTGTACTTGCTCCTTAATCAGCATTGTGGATAAAAAATTTGATCATTGACCTCATTGTTTGTACAACTGCGATATGAAACGCTTTGGAAGGCTTTGAATTTGTGAAGGGTGCTGAATAAATACAAGTTCTTCAATACCTACTATTTAATTTTAAAGGTTCTTCTGTTTCATGTGAAACTCATGTATGAAACTTTATTTTAACTTGTTGATGGACAAGAAGATAAAAATGTAATATGGTACAAAAATTGAACACTTTTTAGAAGGTTTAATTGTTGGAAAACAGAACCATTTTAATGCTTATTTCTCATGCTGTTCTTTTAAATAATGATTGAAACTTCTGTCTAGGCAAAATTATCTGGATGTAGAAATAAGCAAAGTATCAGTGCAGCTAAGGTTTAAAAGTATTTATTTGCACAGTTGTTTCACTTTACATACTTGGACCGAATCAAATTTATTGAATCCTAATATTGTCAAAAAATAAGCAACTGGAACACTGCTATAGGAAGCGTGTGTGAAAGCATTGTTTCATTGGAGAGTGTTTAAATGTTAAATTTCATGCTGAATTTGTGTGTAATGTGCTTAAAGTCCTTAAATGGTGAGTATATTGTCTTTAATAAAAGATTATTGGTTTGTTTTATTTAAACCAAAAATGATTTGACATGCTCCATGTGAAGACAATAAGAGACACAGTTGGTAGGAACAGTGGTTGAGGAGTCTGGAACCATAGGATATAAACGTAAGCTTAATGAGAGATTTGTGACATGTTTTGCCTGAGATGGTCAGCCACAACCTAAGTGAGTGATTAAAACAGAAACCAGGGCAATATCTGGGAATAAGTTAGATTAGTGTTTAAAAGCAAGGAGTATACAGGAATAAGGAAATGACATGGGAACATGGGGTTAGGACTCCTCAGCTGTTCCTTGATTTGAGGAGAAATTAGGCATGCTGCTGATATAAAGGATAAACATCTATGCACATGTTTAGAACTGAACAGTTAGTGTCTATGTTGCCATTTCGGTGTATCCAGTAAACATTGCAGACTCATCTCTGGGGATATTTCATTATAATTTAAATGGAATTCAGTATTTTTCATTAACCATTTTGTCATGTGTTTCAGATTGCATTTTAAAAATGTATGCTGGCAGTTTGGATGTAATATTATAAATTGTATTGCAATTGCTGCTCAAACAAATTCTAACTAGACAGTGTTTCTGAATGTACAGTGATTAAATCTACATGCAGATCTAACAAAATAAACCTGTAGAGATTTGATTAGTTAAATTTATAGGACCATCGTTATTAACACATTTCGAGTCCTTTGGCCATGAGGAGATATGAGAATAAGTTCTGATGCCGTTTTATAGATTTTAATGAGCTTACTAAAATGCATTTATTAAATAAGTTTTAAAAGTATTTCCCATTTAACCAGTCTTAAATCACCATGAGATAACAAGGTGTAGAGCTGGATGAACACAGCAGGCCAAGCAGCATCAGAGGAGCAGGAAAGCTGACGTTTCAGATCTGGACCCTTCTTCTGATGCTGCTTGGCCTGCTGTGTTCATCCAGCTCTACACCTTGTTATCTCAGATTCTCCAGCATCTGCAGTTCCTACTATTTTTAAATCACCATGACTTGCTTTCTTGATAAAGATCAGACGGTTCTACATCGGTTGGGAGTAGCGATAGAGAAATGCTGGAAAGCGCTCTGCTGCTCAGTGATCTGGCAAGGGCATGGGAATGGAGCTGGGCCAATCAAAGACTGGGATACATTGTGACTTCCTTTCACTTCTGTTTGCACATCCATGTTTCAGGACACAGGTTGGAATAGTTAAAATTTCCCATATTACTGAGGGCAGCAGGAGGCCAGGAACCTGGGGCATGGCAGGCTGGTGATATGTTCTATTAAGTCAGTGAATTTTCATAGATTGAGATGGGACTGCTCTGCCTTGTGTCCTCTTTAGCATCACTTTGAATGTATCTTGTCGCTTTAGTTAACAGCCGAACCTGTCCCTACTTCCATTGAGTTGATTGCCTGATTCTTGACAGCTGCTGAAGCCCGGCTGCCTCACTAAAGATGAGAGCATACTGGCACCGGGTTCATAATCCATGCTCAATAAGAGTGGGCCTATTCTAAAGCCTACTCGCTCCCTCACTCTCAGGAAAATGGTGCGGGGGTGATTCAGAATCAGGAGTTCCAGCCTCGTTCCTTAGCAGTCACTTCTTCCACTTTTCTGCCTCCATTCCTGTCTCATCAGGAAAGAGGAAACTCAAGTCTGTAAAACACAAAAATAAAGAACTTACTCAAAACCTTTATTAAATTACTTGTTAGTCTTGAGCTAAAAGTTTCTCATCTGGTTCTGGGCACTGCGTTTTAGCAGTGAAAACTTTGGAGAGAACACAATAGTCTTTGCACAATTAGCACCAGTTACAAGGAAAAACTAAAGAAATTGGGATTATATTCCTTAGAATTGAAAAAGTGAAGGGGAGATTTAAATAGATCTATTCGATACAATGACTGAGGTTTTGATAGAGCTGTTTTCACCAGCAGGAATGCCGGTGACCAGAGAACATAGGTTTAAGATAATTCACAAAAGAAAAGGAGAAAGATTTTATTCAAAGCTCCAAGTTATAAAGTTCTGGAATACAGTATTTTAAATGGTGGTGAAAACCAATTCAATAGTAACTTACAAAAACAAATTGCATCCATACTTGAAAAGAAACGTGCAGGTGTATGGGGAAGGAGCAAGGAAGTGGGATGATTTTAATTTTTAAAAATTCAGTATTCTGAATTTGTCACTAATTTTCAGGATATAGAATGACCAAATAATGATGCGTTATTGGAATGCCTTTTTGATTAGTAGTATAAGTTGAGAACGAATGCACTCTTGTTTATTAACTCAAATGCTGTTATCACTAGAAATGTGAGATAACAAGGTGCAGAGCTGGATGAACACAGCAGGCCAAGCAGCATCAGAGGAGCAGGAAGGCTGACGTTTCGGGCCTAGACCCTTCTTCAGAAATGGGGGAGGGGAAGGGGG